ATTACTGTCGCATGTTTCGAAGATTTGTTTCCGACTTTGCGCGAACATTTCAATACTTTTCTTCAAAAAATGAGAAAAACTTAATGGTGTCAACACTTGGATGACCCAACAGTTTTAGTTCGATCCTTTCCTTAACGATATGCATTGAAATGTTTACAAAAATTTGAAAACAAATTCACGACGGATATAACATCAAAATTGAAAATCAGATATAACATCAAAATTGAAAATCAGATCTATCAGTTGACCTAATCGGTCAAACAATAATGGAAAAATATGATTAATTAGGCGGAACTGGATTTCTCGGGAAGGTCTTAATTGAAAAATTGCTGAGAAGTTGTCCCAATATCTCTAAGATATACGTGATGATAAGATCAAAGAAAAACAAGAGCGCCACGAGCAGACTGGCCGAAATCTTCGAGAGTTCCGTAAGTATAATGAGTGTTAAGAATTACTTAATTTTTCGAAGCGATTTTTGAGGTCTATGTCTAATCATCTCTCCTCGTCGCTCTTACTTGTCTGACGAACCATGCAATTTACACTTAGGCTATTCAGCTTCAGGCAATTTGAATCTTCTCATAGGGATCCTCCTTAAGGATCTTTTCAAACGCTAAAAGGATCTAATTGAAAATAATTTCTTACGCATAATATTTAAAATAGTTATTATATATCTGAGGCGTATGACGCATATGACGTATCATATGTATGGGATTGTAATTATAATATGATAATAGATTTCACTTTAGCCATAAAATGCTATTATTACCGCGGTTTTTTTTATAAGATTTAATTATTCACACTCATGAGGCTATGAACTTGGCGAACGTCAGGTGCATAGCTTCGAAGGTGAGCGAGAGCGGTAGGGAAAAGTGAGTAAGTAAAGCTTTTGAAAATCGCCTCGAAAGTTCAAGTAATTTCCAGCAGTAGCATAAGTAATATATAATAATGCTAAATCTTGTAAATTTATCATGGTATGGCTTTATATAGTGTTACGATAATCCGTAGCTATTCGATCGAGTGAGGAAAGAGATGCCCAACTTTCGTGACAAAGTCGTGCCGCTCGTGCAAGTCAATGATTTGTACGAAGAAAACCTAGGACTTACGAAGGATGACATGGATCTAGTGATAAACGAGGTAAACGATTTGAATTCTACTCACCGTCCTTGGCAAATTTACTTTTATTGTACAGTCGCAAACAATTCATGGTAATGGGAACCAAATAAGCAAAAACTCATTGATGGGACAACATAGCAGCGATATTCAATAGTACATAATATTTTTTGTTATATCGTTTTTATATTGTTACCCCAAAATTAAAAATTTGTTATATCAACATTATCACAAACAACTATGGCCTTTCAATCGTACTGAAACATATTTACAATATTTGGAGAGATTACATATTGTCTAGTAATGTTTAAAACAAATCTAAAATGTTGGGCAGAATGCATATCTTTCGAGAGATATTCTAAAAGTAAGCATTTCAAGATGTTGGTCTAATATTCTTGGTTTACTGGGAACTATACAGGTAAAAACTGTATGAGCTTTGTATTAAAATCAACGAGTTTAATAAACTATTTTATAGTTATAACATATAGCTGAATAGTTAAGGAAACTGTAAGAAATTTTGAAACTACATGCATAATTCTCGCAACAATTCCTCTCTCTCTCTCTCTCTCTCTCTCTCTCTCTCTCTCTCTCT